GAGAGAGAGAGAGAGAAAGCTGTGCCTCTAAATCATATACCATTAGTAGGTGTGTAACTATTCGTTTGGCATTTGTTTAAAAAGTTTACATAAATTGCATTAATTTCTAAGTTATAACTAATAACAATATATCACATCCATATCCAAAACTTCAATTTGATCCCAAACTCCAGGCGCGCCCACGTCTTGCAAATTAAGTTTTTTTTGTTTTTAAATTCTATATAAATTCTGAATTGATTTGTCGGAGAAATGCTTTTTAATTTAGTTTTTTCTTATTTTTTTCTAAATCCACATAAATAATGATGACATCGAATGCTTGAATATGTATTCAATGTATAGGAAAAAGATAATTAATATGGGAATCAAAAATACTTACGAAACAACATTATTTCGTTGAATTTCTTTTCGAGCACATCCTTATCAGTAGGACAGGTAGCTCTGGCCGCGTCTTCATTGGTGTAACAACGGGCCAACCCTTCCGTATGTAAGACAATAACGTTTGGTGTCTTCATTGTGAGGTGAAGACATCGGTGACAATCTTCAGCGCCAGTGCTGTCTTTCAATATGATATGATTGCCGCGTCGAGAGTGACACCGACCCCACGGGACTATACCATCGGCTTCGATGGCGATCTCAGAATAGGTGACAACCCCTCCATCGACGCCACCCGACGCCTGAATCAGGAATATTCCCTGGAATTCGACGGGAAAATAGCATCCGTCACATCCTATTGTGTTAAATAAATACCAAATCAATTAACAGTGTTTTGCTATATTTTGCCAACAATTTTATGTGTTTTTTAAAAGGAAATACACTTTTTATTTGACAGTTAACCCAATTATTCAAACAATGCTTTCCATTGACTTTTCACTGATTTTTCTCTCACACACAACAAGTGTTTATGAAAAATAAATATTATTTAAAAGCGAATACATTGTGTGAAATTCATAGACTCGTGAAAGAAATTTTTCTTTTTAATAATAATATTAAAAACTTTTTCTGAAAAAATATGTAATTATGAGTGAAACAAAATTCTCGTTTGAAATAAAACAGTACTGAATGTGTTATAACTTATAAGAACAGTAAACCATAATCAGTGGGAAACTTGTGTACAATTGCACCATAATATTCAAAACTAGGGGTAAATGACCACTCATTGTGTTGGATTTTAATTCATTAAAAGTAATTTTTGTACGTTTTTAAAAAAAAATTGTGACACAAATTGTAAGATTAGATCTACTATTTAGTGCCAAATATTTATACTTTCAGTAGACATATAATCAAAACCAGATAAATATTTAGTGAATTATAGTCACTATATATTGATTTAAAATGTGTGTCACATATAAATTAAAAACTTAAATAAAATATACAAAACTTGAATAATATATGCGCAAAAAAATGCTGACTTTGAAAACGTATAAATGTATGAATAAATATATTTTAAAATATATTTAAATCATTAAATTTTCGATTCATTCGTTGCTAAAAATTTATCTTATTTTTGTTTTGTCTCAACATTTCTTCGTTGGATTCTTTCAATGTTATCGCTAAAGCATTGATTTGAAGTTAAATAACTTTTTCTCCCGAAAGCGGAGAACCTCCTGAAAGTTTGGGGGCATACGATATACCCCTTTGGGGGTATTTTAAGAGAATTTTATTTCACCTTTTTAGCACCTTTTAGGACGTTATCACCTTTAGTAACTTTTTAGTAACTTTTCACCTATTTTGCAAATTTTATACGAAATTAATGAATATTTTGATTGATTTGCAAAAATTATTCAGAAATTTGTTAGCGAAAAATCAAGTTTTATAGAAAAATTGAAAGAATGGGTTGTGAATATTAATGTTAAAAATCAATTTGCATTTATTTATGTTAATTTAGATTAAAAGTATTTTGTGATACATATCTGTATAATGTAATTTAAAAATTTTATGTAATTAACCTTTTTAATGTACTATTTTGACGCATAATGGCTAACTTTTTCTTAACTTTTTACCACCTTTTTATCACCTTTTCAGGCATTTTTAAGCAACTTTTTAAGTACCTAAAACACTTTTTTAATCACCTAAAAGTCAATGCTTTAGTTATCGCCATATCTTTAATTATAAGCAAAAAAATAAATACTTTTTATGACAGACTGTGTTCTGTGTTTAGATGTTTTGAAAGATTTTCTGAACAGAAAATAATTAATGTCAAAATATTTAATTCAATTTATATTCTGTTTGAGAATGTTTTTTGACGGAGAAAAATATTTCAACAAATATTCTCGACCAACAAAAACAGTAAAAACAAAACTATGTATTAATAAACATAATATTTGGTAATATTTATTCATAATATTTATGAAAAGGTTCAGACATAACGTGTTTGTAGAAAAATTCCGGAGTTTATTATGTGTACGAATGAAAATCAAAGTTTGCCAAAGAATTATGAATTATAATAATAAGTATTACAAAGGATATGAAAGCGTAGAAATATTTTCAATTTTCTGGTAATAAAGTATTTTTTATAGCCGAGTGTAATATCATGTAATATATCGTTAGTATTAATAATGCATTTTTTCGTAGTATTAGTGCCGCACCCATACCATAGCCATACCATATATAACTAGCATTTATTTAGTTTCGTATTCGGATCTCAATCAGAGATGTATTGAATGAAGGACTGGAGGACTGGCAGTGAGAGATAGTGCGGCCACAAAGTGCCAGAACTGCTAGTATTTCCCACGACTTGCGTGACACCCATACTATTCACCAAATATTTCGATTCTTGGGATGGTTTGCGCTCTTCTTGTGGTCTCTTTTGCCATACATTTAGTGTTTTAATTCTCTCTCATTTAGTGATGCAATTCGTTGCACATCTCATATATAAAAACAATTTTTCATTATATGTTTTCTTAATTTTCAACTCAAACATCACTCGCTAAATGTGTTTCCCTTTTCATAAACGAAAATCTCGTACCCCATGTAAAGTGCACTGCAAAGTGTATTAACTCTTAAGTAGTTATTTAAGTGAATGAAAAATATTCTCTCTTTTGGTTTAACTAATGATTTATACTGTTATTTGAATACAGAAATAGAAGTCATTATTTAGCCGGCAATCGGTTTAAATGGTTTGAAATGACTTTTTGAGAACAAAATAAAACACATTTCTTAGTTTCAAATGCATATAGAATTTGATTTCAATTCATTATTCAATCGAAATGTTCAAATATTTTGAGTGAAAATGCATTGTATGAATGCATTCGTGCGTTCGCTCACTAATAGACCACGTTATCGACGAATCACGCGATTACTATAGAGCACAGGTATTTCGTGACCGATGCCTACAAGTGTGTGAAAAACTTTGTGAAGGGAAAGGCATTGTTTGGGCCATAGTTTCTAGTCATTAGCGCTCCTAATAAGCCAAACCCTATGTTTGATTATTATTCCAGTGTTTAGTAATTAAATGCACCAAAAAAGTCATCAAAAACTGCGGATTCATTGCTTTTTATGATTGTCTTCCCATTGTTTGCTATGATATTCCCAAAAAAAATAAGTTGATTCCCCTCTAAAAAATGCATTTTCAGTTACCAGTAGTTATCTATCAGACCTATGGATGATTGTTGAGCACCTGTCCTACACGTCCCACACCGGCAATCATTGCCTACCTATTCATGCATTGCATTACCTCTCACTCCACAACTCTAACACCACATCAACTCAATTGATATTTGATTCAAATTATTCTTCGGACAAATGCATAACAATCTAAAGACATGCGAACCAAATGCGAAATGTATTGCTTTTTAATATATGATAATCATATGAATTAAAGCCAAAACACGTTTTTTATTCAAAACTATCGAAACTGCTTTTGAGAGTAATGTTATGTCCGGAGAAAATATATGAATACAATTCACTTGACTTCAGGATTTGCTTTCACTTCAATTAATATTTGTTTTGTTTTTTGACAAAAAAAAAATACTTTTCACAAAATGTTATTTTTGAAAGATGTTATTCAGCAAACAGTGTAGTCGAGCCTGAATTCCTCTGAAAGCATGCGAGACATTCAAAAGGTGTGTCCTCTCATCCCTCTATCTCTCATATAATATGTAACACAAACTAATTAGTAAACAGTTTTGTCTGGCCTTAAGATCCTATTTACGTCTTATATCGACAGTTGAATGCATTTTTCGCTATAAAATGCAATAATATTTTAATGACATTTATATTTTTCAAGTTGTCAAAAGATTTATGTATTCACTTTACTCAGAGAGAGAGAGAGAGAGAGAGAGAGAGAGAGAGAGAGGGCTCGGGTGAGAGAGCGGGCGGACTTGAATTATGGGATAAATAGGATCTTAAGGCCAGACAAAACTGTTTACTAATTAGTTTGTGTTACATATTATATGAGAGAGAGAGAGAGAGAGAGAGAGAGCACATAAAAGTAATTAGAGTAGAGTAGAGACAAAGTATATTTTGTCAAATATCTCGACTCTGGAGTCTTTTCTTGAATCAGTAGAAAGTGATAGTAGTGTCGGATGTGTGGCAACGGCTGGCATTGATGGGCACAACAACACTGTTGGGCACAACACCACTCACCAGACCCTTACACCACATCCTGGTAGCGATGTTTGACTCAAATACCAAAAATAATTGGTATTCCGTAACAAGTATTGAGAGAATAAGCAATAAATAAATATAAGCTTTCGTTGAATGAAATATTCAATTGGTTTGTAGAGTAATGATTGACCACAAAAAACAATTTGACAACATTCCACTGCTCAGGCATTGTTACCATCGGCAAACATCATTGCCTTCATTGCCATCGCTGGCACATCCATACCATCACCTGTTGATGTGTTCATGTTTTTGTATGAATATAACAGGAAATACATAAGAAAATTGTCCGATCGCTTCGCTGAACAAGAAGAGAGCAAAAGTGTAATTCTTGAGAGAGGGGTAGCAGTGGTGGCAGTGATGGCTATAGTGAGGGCTATAGTGATGGCAACAGCGCTGATGGAGGTCGGGCTCCGATATGCTGTGTTGACTCGTATGTGCAGGAAATAATGTCCTGCCCTTAAGGTATTACTTCTAATGTATTGATGCCTTTGTTGAGGGCTTTTATCACAGAAAAAGAAGCCAACACTACGACAGACAAAGGAGAAGACAATCTTTATGTGCATTTCAATGCACATCACAGGACCACATATTCCTGTCATTATTAGCCGAGCGCTCATTTGTCCCCAAAGTATGACAAAACAAAAATACTTTATTAATCGATGCATACATTTACTCATTTGGGGCCCAATTTTTTATGGTTCTCTACTTTTAATCTAATTATACGTAAGAATAATGAAGAGCATAGCCATAGAGAAGAGCGCGTGCCGGTCGACGATAGATATATAACATGTATATATAACCTGGTATTTTGGTCTGTGCTTTGAAGCGCTGATTGCTATCTCAACAGTCCATATGGTCTCTGCAAACCATAAAACGGGTCATTCTTTCTCTACTATTGTTCAAAATAATTATATTTTTTCAGTATTTATTCCTAAACTCTCGTAAGACATATAAAAAACATCTGTTGAATAATGACTTCTCTATCTCTTAAGTAATGTTCATTTTCATTAATTTTGGTACAATTTTTACAATGAATTTCATTGAAATACGGAATACAAGACACAAAACGAGTTTTAATTCTTATTACATTTATAATTATAATCAAGAGTTTTGTATTACATTTGTTGTCCAATATATATAAAGTTTCGTATAATTAATAACGTTTTCCTCGCTTTGTTGCTACAAATAATATATTTAAAAAACATTTAATGACATACTTATGATTTCCTCTCCTCTATATCCCTGCGTTTAAACAACAAAAAATAAGTAAATGTTTTTCCTGTTGGACACTATATTATAGACATTTAATTCTTCCGATCACTTAATTGTATGCAATCATATGATAAGACCTTTAAATTTTAAAATCCCGGTTGAATTTATCCCATAGAATATCTCAATGAAATTCAAACCACACTCTCGTTTGATTAGTGATTGATTTCATCATTTAGTAAATCACGAAAAATTTGTTTTACTTTTCTCTCTCGAAAGTAGTAATCATTTTGAATAACTGTCTTCAATGAGTGGAGTAATGGTATCTCTCGTATTGAAAGCCTGTGGCGATTGTGTGGTAAACATTAAAATATTCAAGAGTTTAGCGTTCAGTGAGAATAAAATACGAGTGGAATGGAAGTCACGGTCACCTGATTTGATCCGTCCGTCAGTCCGGATGTTATTAATGATTATATTACTGACAAAACTAATAATAATCATAACAACACATACTGTAAGCCCTATCATAAGAAACGCACCGAAAGTCTAGTTAAAAGTTTAAACAATATTACAAATTCCAGGTTTAAGAGAAGGTTATGTTTAACTTTCATTAACAGAGTTGTTATGTGCGCTCAAAACTCGCCTTTCCGTCTCATTTGAATCCGAAAAACATTGAATATTAACTTCAATTATAGCGAAAAAATAACTACAACTCGAGGTTTGCATTTTTAATTCACAAATATTTCACATATTTTTATTTATTTCAAGTGAAATGAACGCAAGACTTGGCGTAAAAGACTATAAAAGATTGCGTTTGTTATATACATAGCAAACAAACAGTACTTTATATGCGAAATGGATCAGTAGAAGGGATGTATGCGCTCACAGACCAGACCAGTCAGTCCTCCAGTCCTTCACAATAAACACTAACCGAAGAGTATTTTCTTATATGAACTACAATTCAATTATAAAAACTCACTTCAGTTTCTATATTTACAATTCACTCTAAAAGTGAAGTAAGACTACAGTATAGTCTAGTGTTTGGCATTTCGTGCAAAATTCAATATTGAAAACTAATTGGACGGCAATTCTTCGGGCAATAATTGAATTCAACTCTTGTTATAAACACTGAATTGAATTGAAAGAAAAGTTTTTAATCAAAATATAATATAAATAAGAGTTGGCTTTTGTTTTGATTGTTTCATCTTTCTCTGTCTGTGGCGATCATATCGTTGTTTCATTACAATTCTTAACAACACTTAATAATTGTTTTATTCTTATGCTTACAGTAAAATAAATCTCATTTTCTTTCATACAAACATATATAGTATTTAACAAAAACTTGATTTTAAACATTTTTTCAGTTTTCAAAAGAGACACAAAAAACAAGTTGTGTTTCGCTTTTTAGAAAAACAAGTTATGATTAGAAGAATGAAGTCTTAAAAAATAGATTCTCTTCTCATATGAAATAATACTACAACTGATATAACAATACCTTTAAAAAAAATTGAATCTCAACTCTAACTTAAAGTTCACTCCAAAAGTCGTTATATTTTTCTTTGAGAAAAAAGTTTTTAACATTCTTTTTACTTTTGGAAAACTTATAATTATTGTCTCAGAAATGAAATTATTTCACAGAAAAAATTGTCAGAACTTTACCAACAATTTCCCAATAAATCATTTATTTTCGGTTTACGTTTATAGCGATTATTTGGATTGATTTGAATTGAATGGAAGAATACATTTGCGGAGAAAAGAAGTGGAAATTATAGCTCAAAAACCTTGATTATCAAAACCGAAATAAGTTTCTCATCCATAGACTCAACAAATACAAAAGTTTAGTGATTTGAGTGCAAAAAACAACAAAAAATATAATGAATTTTTTTAAAAAGTCGAGTATTTTTTACATAAGAAATAGATTTTCGTTTAACAATTCGCTGTCAGTTGAGTCTAATCTCGATTGTAGAGTACATATGACGGTAAGAAGTAATACCTGGATGTGATAGTAAAATGCATACAATAGTATTGCGAATCGGTTCCACTTTGTCAGTCATGTCTCCGAAACATCACTTTCACTACTTCTCTCCAAAAGTCATTAATTTTTAAGTACTTTTCTTGAATTCATGGGTCATTTGATACTAAAGAATGAGATCTCATGTGATCTCAAAACGACTACAAAGTTTTGTAACAAAACCATCAAAAAATAAAATAATATTTCTATTCATAAGAGATAGAAGTCAATGATTGCCGACAACAGACAACAAGTTATGTAAAATTAATGTAAATCTCGAGTTAATCTGTAAGATATTATATGAATAGAGAAATTTGATAACTTTCTCCATAATTATTATCGGAGAAATTTAAAGGCGTATTCAATGTATTGTTAATCCTATTTATAAATTAATGCTTTGATGGGAAAACTTATGAATCGTTTATTTAAATAAATTATTGTATAAAATAAATGATGGATTCGATGGAGTTGTTTAAGAGTCAACAATTAGAGAGAGAGAGAGAGAGAGAGAGAGAGAGGGCTCGGGTGAGAGAGCGGGCGGACTTGAATTATGAAGAGAGAGAGAGAGGACAGAGACAGTGCCAGACGTATTGCTACCTGAGGTCTATATTTGTTGGGCTGATGAGAGAGAGAGAGAGAGAGAGAGAGAGAGAGAGAGGGCTCGGGTGAGAGAGCGGGCGGACTTGAATTATGGGATGTTTATGAGATGAGCGAAACTAAAGTAAATGCAAAGTCAGACAAAAAATCTGATACATAATTGTATATAACATATAAAACTACATTTCATTTTCATGGGAACAGTTTCACAATTGAGGATCAAATAAATATCAGCATAAATAGCAGTGGAATTGTTGCCCAACCCTAACATATGATGCAAACAGTGCTTTAATCTATAATATAATGATAAACGAAAAAATGCGAGAAATGGTATTCAAACGCCCAGAGATCCGACCGGAGTGTTGAAGTCTTGAGCGCCGGTACTGTAAATAAGTGGTGGAGAGAGCCATGAGAGCCATGAGAAGACCCAAACACCACCACCGATAGCACCAAATCAGCTCCGACTCCAACTCCAAGCCCACGCGACTAAACCCAAAATGAAAATAACTGGCGATAAATAGTTCTTAGGGCTAAGCTTTTACTTATGAGAAACACTTATTATTTATTTTTTGTTTTAAACTGATCGTCAACCCGGATATGTGGTCGGTATATACAGGCGCTGCAAAGTGAGCGAGTGATGGGCCGCGGGCTTCAAAATATCTAACTCTCAAAACGAATATTTTAGAGGAATGGGTGTGGAGTGTATTGAAGGCATCGAAAAGCATCGGACATATAGTTTATGCTGAGTTCACCATCACTGATGAACCGGTGATTTCCATCGCAATGGACTAAACATTCATTTTTCATCCTCTCTTTAGAGGCATTACAATCACTTCACTAACAATTCACTAACAATTGGCTTCGAGTCGTAAATATTTTACAGCGAGAGAAAAGTGCTCCGAGTCTTGAGTCTTGCGAAAGTCGACTGAAGTGACCAATAAGTGGTAAGTAGTGTACACTATAGACATTACAGTTCACTATAGCCCGGAGTGGGCTATTGTAGTGTAGTTATGGTGCGAACGACACAATGCAGATATCATTGTGACAGATATAACGAGAGGTTAGTTTATTATCCATTCAGTTGGCTATACCTGTCGAGCAAACGCACGGCCACTCTCTCTACACACACATAAGGCTCGCATTCCCTGTACTCGCATTACGTTTGACCCCCACTGACCCCCTGTGTCCCCCATCGGCCCCACCACTAACCCACTGTGCCTTCGTTTTAATAGTTTCACGCTTTTGCTATTATTATCTGTTGGGGAGTCGGATGGCCGTCAAATGTTGAGTACAGGCGATGCACACCTATTAGCATACATGAGCCCTGTATTGGCTACTAGTTTGACACCAATCACTACCGCATACTTATATTTATAACATAACTTAACTCGTGTACACCTCGAG